CGTCAATCGAATTAGTTCGCGAGAAGAGCAATCGTTACACAAGGACGACTTTCCCAGCTTGCAGCGCAATAATTGCCGTGACGCAACGCCGGATTAACAAGTGCAACCGGGACGACTGGAAGCGCTGTCTGGATACATTCTCCATCGAGGTTCGGAAAGCAAGCTCGTGTTGGAGCTCGGGGGACTGACCTGTACATGGCAATGTCTTCAAATGATTTTGCGTTGTTGACAGCGAAAACCAGAAGGAATCCTTCCCCGGTTCGCATATACTGGTCTCGCATTGCTGAATATTCTTCCTGACCCGCCGTATCCAGAATGTCCAGGAGACAGGTTTCCCCGTCGATAACGACCTGCTTTCTGTATGAATCCTCTGAGGAGGTAAATGAGAGCGTCAATATTCGATCACATTCGAGAATCATTCACGATTGGGGTTTATTGAGCACTTACCTATCGTGGGATCATATTCGTCCACGAAACTGAAATAGGCAAAGCATTCATGAGAACGAATGTCATGTCGGGTGGTCGCCGGTTGTCAAGCCGGGTAGATTCTCATAGGTCAAAGTCCACACACAAGACGATTGCGAGAATTTGGCCGCGGCGATGATCTTACGAAAGACACAATCCTGGTCTCTTATGCGGTCTCTTATATTACAGCATGGGGGGGATTGGGGATTGGAGGGATCCGCTTCATTGGCTCCGTGTATATCTCGTACACCTCACTAAAAGCTCAAACCCTTGAGCTGAGCATCTTTGTATATCGACAGACAAATAAAAGATCTCGAACAACTTGATCCTCTTCGGAGCTTTACGACCCGCCAACCCCCGTATCTCCACGTCATGCGTAGCTTCTGTTTCTGAAGTTCCTTTCTTTACTTTGCCCATGAGTTGCATAAATAAATTTCGGCCCTTTCTTTGCAGGATACTTTCAACCAACATCAAGTCTACAAAGAAAGTCATATTCGGATTACTAAAGCCCCTGATGAATGACGTTATCAACTATGACAAGAGACAGGATAGGAAGAGCGATGACTCACTGATTCTGAATCAACTGGATCGTCAGGGCGCTCTTGCCCACACCACCAGCTGAAATGAGAAACGTCCCGGTTAGAAACCAATAAGCTGGATCACTGACAGAGAATACAACGGATATATACGTTAGCGGTCTCCGTCGGGGAAACGTCTATCCATCTATATTAATCTGTAATGCTTCGGGTGAGGCGTCAATTTTGGTCCAAAGTCCCAGACCCCGCTCAGCGAAAGATGACTTCACAGTATATGGCATAAACTTCATATTCTCCCGATAGCTGCAGACCTAGCGATGTGGCGTGACGGACCAGATGGAGTGATCGCCTTCTGTCGGCAAGCTCACGTGACAACGTCAAGCTTACAAGATCGATCGAAAGAAAAATTGTTCGCAAAGCATTCGGGCGACTCCTCCTCTGTATCAATTACATTGGAGGAACTCGAACTCATAAGAGGAATAGCTCTATCTTCCGGGCTCGGATACTTCTCGCGTCGAAGTGGACCAGGAGCCGTGAGGGCTGGGTACGGGTGGCTTTCAGCTCTTGCTCCCTCCTCGTCATTGGTATCGTCTCGTATTGATCCTCCGACATCTCGGAGAGGAATGTCGTTGTCAGAGACTAGCGATCCAAGAACTGGTCTCAAAAGAGGGACCGACGAATCCATGATTGCCGTCATTGTCGTCAGAGTTCGCGTGGTTTTCGGGCTCGAGGCGTTGCGGTTCTGAGAGCCGAATCAAGCGGGTCGTGTCAAATGTCAAATATGTGTCTACTGGCAACTGGCACCGTGGGAGATGGCCGACGACTGTAAAGCTTCCATCCACCATCACACAGACCCGCAGTCAGATAGGCGTCCAGGCTGCCCGAATGGCAAATGAGCTCCCCCGGTAGAACACCCGCCGATATCCCAGAAGGAAGAATCAGGAAAAAAAGCCAATAATAAAAACGACTCGAACCGACAATGACGGCCGGTGTAAGGGACGACACCGCTGTGAAGTTAGGTAACCCGACTTCCGGGTGAATTTTCTCGTGGACAATTCTGGTACGCCTGGTGAGCCGCCCCTCAGGAGCATGGAGATCCTATGAGAGGTCGTTCGGTCGGGAATTTCACTGGAGAGACCAACCCGGCAGCAGATAGATGGTGGAGCAAGAAGGAACCGAGTTCAGTTTACTCCGCGACGTTACATAGCCGCGGCCTTCCCACATGCCGGGGGCCTTTTATAGATCGAAACAAGCGAACGCGCAACGAGCCAACGATGCTCGTGCGACTCATGACTGCCGTTGAGCCGAGCATCGATGACAAGCAAAGCCTAAATCCGTAACCGAGCAATTGTCGCCTAGTCCGCTGTGAGGGATGGCGACGTACGCCGCGGAGCGGCGCCCCGCAAAGGTGGCGGGTGACCAGTTCGCTTTCCAGGAAACTTCAACGAGTCACATGACTCACTGCGACCGCGGTGTTACTCCTCAAACGAATACGGGAGCTTCAATCACTCCAGTTGGTGATCCCGTAGACGCTCGCTGGAGTCGAGGGGCGACTCGTTTCTTCGTCGAGAATCCCATTATAAGCCGGTCCTGCCGTGTATTGCTTGCTCGCTCGCTCGCTTGTTTGTTTGCTCGCACGCTCGCTCGGTCACTCGACAGTCATCAGTATTTTGGTCAGTCGAGTAGTCGACAGTCAACAATCCAACGCCTATCGAGGTTGAATGCTCAGCTTCGACGATTCGCTTCACTCGAGGGGACCAGAGTCTCGGCACGATCGCCCCCAGGTTCGCAGAACATATAATTAGAATCATTCTCCGCAATTCCTGCCGGCGTCTCACCCCTGGCCGCCCCCGAACCCTCCAAAGAGCAGACCAGGGGCAGAACGACGGAACCCGGCCACGATCACTCCGAACAGAAGGCTCGCTTCGTGCAGCGCACAGTATACACCGAGATTATCGAAAAACTTGTCACTTGCCTCCAACAACGACTAGCTTGTACTCAGTCATTGCGAATGTTGTAGCGGGGAAGATTATGTCTCTTCTTCGGCGAGAAGCTCCCCACGACTCGGCGACGACTTCATTCTCGTTGCACGATCAATGGCCTGTTGCACTGAATCCGTGGCTCGATGGCACAATGCGCTTCCAGACGATGAACTCCAGACGAATACTCAAACGCTCGAAGCTTCAGCGAAGAAGCTTCTCGGTAATCGACGCCGTCGGCGTCAATACACAAGACACTGCTGCTGCCTGCCGACAACACCGACCGACACACAGATAGACCTGCCCACGCGGGCCGCGGCAGAGCGGTACGGTGAGACGTGACATTCAGCTTGTCCGCTTATACGCTCTGTACGACGTACTTTTGTATGCTCGTACGTATGCTTGTTATAGCGTTCATATTTCAGGTCTTTGGAAGGTGGCAGCTGGAAGAACGCGGGGTAAAATTTTACAAAAGTGGACTCCGTCGATGGGGGGAGAGTGTAGACGATGGTGTTGATGATCTTTGTTTAAAATCTGACCGGGAGCGGGCGCTCCCTCCTGTCATTTGTCCCGAGACAAAAAGTTAAGCTCTATTGTCCAGTAGCTAGCCCCATCGCGTCGACTATCGATGGACGATGCCCAAGCGCGAGCAATGCGATCGGGGATCGCGAAGCTTCCGCGGATCGCCAGGACAAGGAGGAGATCTTCCAGGTTTGTTTGGACAACAAGGGCTACGTACAAGTTGAAGTAGACGATGATCCTAAGAGGGGTTTATACGGCGAGGAGCAAGCTCCCAGCTCACCTAATTCAGATTGGGGGTGCGTGAAACTTTCCGGAGGGGGTGCGTGAAACTTTCCGGAGGGTCTGTTGCTGGCTAGCTGTGTACGGTCCTATTTTGCATGCAAGTCTTTCATCGTCTCCCGGCTTTCGGCCGGCGCGGAATCGTGGCGTTCCCGTATCATCACTCGCAAGTTCCTATGCGCTGGAAATACCACAATTTCATATTCTTGGAAACCATTTTCATTCTCTTTCATCCCAATATCTTCATACCTCGCTCATTCGGTGATGGATTGAGGGAGTCGTCTCATTGAACCAGATCTGATCCATCGAATTTCGACGTCATGGCCGCCGTCTGAGAGCGGATCGCTAGCGGCAAAAACGAATCGTTGCTCCACGCTGCTCGTCTGACATTGGAAGCGTCTCATTGCTAGTGCTTCCGCTATCGCATAGTTATTGTCTATCATTTGCAGAACCAGATTTGCGACTCGCATACTAGAAGAATTGAAGGCAAACGATGGTGCATGAATTGATAGGAAAGAGCGCGGCGGTGGGATCCAAAGACGGATTTTGATAGTTTATTCCCGATTTTCGGTCGGTTCTCGAAAGTCGAAAGGGAAAATTCCGGCGGTATTTGGCGAAACCTACATCGATTCGCCCACAGGAGTCTGGCCGCACTGACCTGTCGACCCTGTACTGAACAAATCCATTATTTTTCGCAACACTTCATGGGGGGTCAGACTCGAAGATATCTTGCCGAGTGTGTGCTTCAAAGTCTCCTCGGAAGAATGTAGGGCTGTTCTCCGGTAAATTTTCCATCTACCCGAAAAAACCCATCATAATCGGTGACGTATTTACTGAGTTATTAGATCCCAAAAGCGGGCAAGATTTCGTTACAGGAAGAGGAAGTTTGGTTGGAAGTACCCCTCTGTGAGTTTGAAGAAGTTTCACGTCAAAAGTTATGATCCGCGATTCTGCGGATCATAGCACTGGAGCCAGTAGTCGTGGAAGAAGTCGGCACGAGGGCTGAGGGACGGCGTGATTTCGATCAAGCGCCAGGCAAAAGTCTCATCGTCTGCATGTGTACCGCGCTCCACACGGAACTCCATGTGAGAAATTATTTCCCCCGAAACTCGAGAGCCGGTTTCCCTGTGTAGTACCCATTTTCCTAAGGTATCGTTCGACACGCTTTCATCCGCTCGAAACCCGTTTTTCATTAGACCGCATCGATTACTGAACTGGCGTTTCCCGTGACAGTCGAACTTGTAGTGACTCTTTGTATACCACTCCACTGATTGCTCGGCAAGGAGCCAGCAGCCAGGCTCCATTTCTTTTTTCTGATTCCCATTCCTTTTGTACAGGCAGACAGGATGTCGACGAGCAAGCAACTCGTCCGAATCTCGGACGGCCCTTGGCGGCGAATCCACAAAATCCCTCAGGATCCCGCGGGCCGAGTGAGGCTCGAAACCGTACGTCTGATTTACCCAGAAGCAAACAGACTGGTCGTTCCAGGAGAGGACGACCAGGAAGACAAGATTTTGATGTCTCGGGAGAACTCCGTCCTTCTCCCGGAGGACTTTGATGGACAACAAATTTTCTACGCGCGTGACCCCAACGCTGACTGGGGTGAGTGAGTTTCTCTGAAAGCGCGCCTCTCGCGGAAGGCATGGAACCGAGGCTGGTCCGAGCTGCGGTTCAATGGGGGAAGTCTTCGAAAACAATCGAGAAACACAATGTTCATCGCAATGTGCCCAGGTTGTGTCGTTGTCATCCTCACTAGATACTACTCAGGGAAACCGATTTGGTCGACCAAGTAGGTCCACCGAGCGACCTCGGATAACAGCTAATGCAATTCTCAATGATCCAGGCGGGTTTCTTTATAACCCAGAGACGGAAAGAGATGGCCGAAGGAAGCGAAGGATACAACGAAGCAACACCTTCCGCTCGCATCAAGAAAAGGTTCTTGGATGTAGTAAGTTCACGTTTCTCTTCCTCTCCTACTGCGAGAACGGTATGCTCGGGCACCTTCTCCGGCCGGCCCTCATTCGAATCGGGCGCTTATTATCAAGTATACTTTCAAGCATTCCACTGTAGGGCTCCTGTCAAACCGAGCTTCGTAGAAGACGGAAGGACTACGCTGGCGCGTGAGACTCAGGTTCGAAACGTGAGTATTAGGCGTGAAGCGTGAGGATTAGGCGTCTGATGATTTTTCTTCCCAAATGAATATCACGAGTAGTCCATTTCTAGACGGATAAATGGAACATCAAGGAAGCTGAACATGCTGAATTCACTACCGAGTCCTAGATATCGCGACAGAGGAACGAGAGAGCTAGTCTTCCTCCTATTTCAGTACGAGCTTTTGCCTTGGTACACATGGATCGCGATATTCATTGGCTTGGTGTTCCTAATAATCATGAGTCGGTACTTGTGCAAATGTGAGCAAAATTTCGGAATCCGAACTCCATCAAGTACGAGTGGATATGGGCTGCTTTTGAAAGAATGATCATGATATAATTTTCGCGATTTCTTCAAGTTGCGAACGAGAGTATTCCGCCTGACGGCCGTATATCTTTCGATGCGAGCGATCGGTGAGCACCTCGGAGGACACTTTTGCCGACCGCCGTTGTCCTCGGTGACTCATAAGATGGAGAGAATACGTAGTTTGCACCGAGGGGAAACACTCCGAGGTGCTCACCGATGTTTCATTGTATTCTCAGGAATATGGAGCCAAGCGTGGGAGATCAACGGCCCATCCGTAATGGGCAAGTACCATGGGAGTGAAGTTACTTGGTTCGAGCCGCTCCCGAAGAAACTGAGCTCCTTGTCGAAGGGACTCCTTCTAGCAACGGCCCCGCTCGCCAATGACAGACGCGACGACAGGAGCCGTGTGTATTTTCTGTATTGCCATATTTGTGAATCATATCGACTGGCCATAAACATCGTCATTGTGGAAACACACCACGCTTGGTGGACACGTATAGCCGGCATTCGTCAGAACATTCGTTCAATGACGACTGGAAGACGCCGGCCCCAGGCAGGTAGTGTCAGAGACACTACCGTAAGTCTCGTTCGTTCCATGGAGTCTTCATGTTCTGAGTTCAATTTTCTTCGGACATCATCCGAATTTCTGAGTTATTCAATAGTGATTCGGTGTCTCTCGATATCAAACTGTACTGGACAGATCCATTATTTATACGGTTTTTCGCACCTCTTCATGGGGGGTCAGAATCGAAGTTATCGTGCCGAGCGTGTGCTTCAAAGTCTCCTCGGAAGAATGCAGGGCTGTTCTCCTGAAAATTTTCCATCTACCGGAGAAGACTTCATCATAATCGGTGTCGTATTTACTGAGTTATTGGATACCAAAAGCGGACAAGATTTCGTTACAGGAAGACGAAGTTTAGGTGGAAATACCCCTCAGTGAATTTAAAGACGTTTCACGTCAACAAGGCCAATGACCAGATATCGCGGGTCGCAACCGCGAACAACGAAGTCCAAAATATCGCACAGTCGCAGTTGACCGGTTAACTCAAAAGCCGTGTTAGTGATCTGACAAAAGGTTGATCTGAGAGCATCGAGCTGGAGCAACATGCATTTCTCGAAAAGTTTCGAGAGGAATGGTGATAGGCTAATAGGACGGTACTTAGGAGGGTCGGACTAGGAGCCCTTGCCCTTATACAGTGGGACAACATGAGTATGCTTGAACTCCAGAGTCTCCTAGAGTGCGAGCCTGATCTCAGAACAACGCGGCGCACACTGGGCCAAATGGCCAAATTAGGTGGAAAAAATTATTTTGCGCTTCGAATCCGACGCTGCTTGTCTAATTCGATGTTCCGAAGCTCGAGACACACGAATTCGAAGCTCCGCTCATCACAAACCCCGCGTATCACGGAACCGGAGCTCGTGAAACGAAATCATGCGAATGGAAAACTCCCTCTCTCCCCCTTGACAAACTTCTCATATGATCTAGCTCTCGTGTACGATGCCTTGGGTCGGAGCTCGGAATTTCTCAAAGGGGAAGCCAGGAGCTGGTCTGGCGCCTTTTCGAGAAAGAGACAACAAGACACTAATGTCTGTCTCTTTTTCTATCACAACGATGAGATGTTTGCCCGGATTCATTGATGCAAAAGTATCAACGAAACAAACAAACGAGTTCATCGCGGCCTCGACGGCATTTCTTGTGCTTCTTGCGAAGCTTCGAAATAATACGCCCAACATCGAAAAATTGAACCCGCGGCACAGAAATCTCGATTCCTGAAAACAGCAAGTTAGTCTCGAAGGTCTTACGATCCCCCTGTTTGGGGCATTAGAACTCGAGAAGCGCTACGAAGCGCGGTCTCTCAACAACTTTTCTGGGAAGTTTAGAGCCGGAACTTTTAAAAAAAATATATTTTAGCGAGGGGACACGAGGGGCATGTCTTGTATTGAATAATCTACTTCCTCCTGATTCTATGGAAATTAGGTTTCGAAGAAACACTCTATTTAAGACCATAAACACCGATCGTCCGCTCTCAAATCGTCTTGAATGCGGACTTATCTCCGATATCTTTGTCGATACTCTTTCGAAGCAACAAAACACAAATGAGAAAAATCGCGGAAACAAGCTCCTCTGGAATCGTATGAATCATCGACTTTCGCTGTCTCTCCACTTCATTTTGATCGAAGCGGAGTCGGAAAGGATTGTAGCCCGCGTCTTCCCATGTTCCGACGAGATTCCGACGCTATGTGGGGTGTCAAATTTCGAGCTCGACTTTTGTCCGCCTAATTCGGCCATTTGGCCCACTGTGCGGCGTTACATGTAGAAACGAGGTTCTCCCGTATGGGTGGAGGCTCGAATCTAGGGTTCGGCGCGGACGAATCGGCACAATTGGCCAAGCTCCCAGTCTCACGGGTCAGATGCGACCATGAGATCGCGAATATTGGAATCAAGTCGGCAGCTACCGCCGGGATGTAGCAACACCAAGCGCGTATGCAGAAGACGATCTTCGATAGGAAGGCTTTTCTGATCGCAGTCGAACGTGATTCCACTATGGGAGCGCGATTCTTGAATTCTTCCGAGGGTTAGAGGATCAGCTCCCCTAGAGTCAAGCATCGCAGCCCGATCCAAGTTCCGAACAATTCTGTATCAGGGCGCCCGGACTTTGGAAGAGTTCGTCCCGATATGGAGCGACGCTCTGCGTTCGCCGCCAAATGAGAAGCAGGCTCTTCTACCAATGAAAATTCAGATGTCATTCCGGTGATTATATTTTTATTGCGAGAAACGAGAAACGATCGTCTTCAGCGTTCCCCACCCCTTGTCTGCAGCGAGGTCTCCCCGACAACGGCATGACTCCTGGAGCCTAGAAAAAGATCGCCTCAGCGGTCGACGTAGTACCTGGAACAAGAAAAAAAGCTTTACCACAAGACCGTGGGCGGCTCAGAATCCTCCGAGATCGGGGACCCGCATCGCAATGTCCCGCTCCAGCGAGTTCTCCCCGGAACTCCGCGAGAGCACGACTTCTTGATCCCCGACAACAATGATCGGAAAATCTTACCGTTTAGCCGGCCTTTTGCTGCTACTATTTACAAAATTATACACTTCTTCTTGATCTTGTTGCGGTTCCTCTTTTTTTCACGAGTTTTCGCCTCTCGATCTTTTCGAATTTCCCTAACGAGAGTGTAAAAAGCATCGTCGACTCCCATCCTCGTCTTGGCTGAGGTCTCGACGAAGGGGACACCGTAACTACGCGCAAGCTCCGCCGCTTGCTTCATGTCCACGGTCCGAGACGGCAAATCGCATTTGTTCCCTACCAATACCATCGGTACGTCATCTGCATCCTTGACGCGTTTGATTTGTTCTCTGTGAGAAGCAAGGCGGTGTTATGATTCCGTTGGCAAGTTCCCGGTTGTTCGAAATCTCCATCTTCGTCAATCGAATTAGTTCGCGAGAAGAGCAATCGTTACACAAGGACGACTTTCCCAGCTTGCAGCGCAATAATTGCCGTGACGCAACGCCGGATTAACAAGTGCAACCGGGACGACTGGAAGCGCTGTCTGGATACATTCTCCATCGAGGTTCGGAAAGCAAGCTCGTGTTGGAGCTCGGGGGACTGACCTGTACATGGCAATGTCTTCAAATGATTTTGCGTTGTTGACAGCGAAAACCAGGAGGAATCCTTCCCCGGTTCGCATATACTGGTCTCGCATTGCTGAATATTCTTCCTGACCCGCCGTATCCAGAATGTCCAGGAGACAGGTTTCCCCGTCGATAACGACCTGCTTTCTGTATGAATCCTCTGAAGAGGTAAATGAGAGCGTCAATCTCCGATCACCGATTTATTGTGACAGGTAGGCAGACGAGTCGAGAATAATTCACGGTTGGGGTTCATTGAGCACTTACCTATCGTGGGATCATATTCGTCCACGAAACTGAAATAGGCAAAGCATTCATGAGAACGAATGTCATGTCGGGTGGTCGCCGGTTGTCAAGCTGGGTAGATTCTCATAGGTCAAAGTCCACATACAAGACGATTGCGAGAATTTGGCCGCGGCGATGATCTTACGAAAGACACAATCCTGGTCTCTTATGCGGTCTCTTATATTACAGCATGAGGGGGATTGGGGATTAGAGGGATCCGCTTCATTGGCTCCGGGTATATCTCGTACACCTCACTAAAAGCTCAAACCTTGAGCTGAGCATGTATATCGACAGACAAATAAAAGATCTCGAACAACTTGATCCTCTTCGGAGCTTTACGACCCGCCATCCCCCGTATCTCCACGTCATGCGTAGCTTCTGTTTGTGAAGTTTCTTTCTTTACTTTGCCCATGAGTTGCATAAATAAATTTCAGCCCTTTCTTTGCAGGATACTTTCAACCAACATCAATTCTACAAAGAAAGTCATATTCGGATTACTAAAGCCCCTGATGAATGACGTTATCAACTATGACAAGAGACTGGATAGGAAGAGCGATGACTCACTGATTCTGAATCAACTGGATCGTCAGGGCGCTCTTGCCCACACCACCAGCTGAAATGAGAAACGTCCCGGTTAGAAACCAATAAGCTGGATCACTGACAGAGAATACAACGGATATATACGTTAGCCGTCTCCGTCGGGGAAAGGTCTATCCATCTATATTAATCTGTAATGCTTTGGGTGAGGCGTCTATTTTTGTCCAAAGTCCCAGACCTCGCTCAGCGAAAGATGACTTCACAGTATATGGCATAAGCTTCATATTCTCCCGATCGCAACAAGTCTGGCGATGTGGCGTGACGGACCAGATGGAGTGATCGCCTTCTGTCGGCAAGCTCACGTGACAACGTCAAGCTTACAAGATCGATCGGAAGAAAAATTGTTCGCAAAGCATTCGGGCGACTCCTCCTCTGTATCAATGGCATTAGAGGAACTCGAACTCGTCAGAGGAATAGCTCTATCTTCCGGGCTCGGATACTTCTCGCGTCGAAGTGGACCAGGAGCCGTGAGGGCTGGGTACGGGTGGCTTTCAGCTCATGTTCCCCCTCGTCATTGGTACCGTCTCGTATTGATCCTCCGACATCTCGGAGAGGAATGTCGTTGTCAGAGACTAGCGATCCAAGAACTGGTCTAAAAGAAGGACCGACGTATCCATGATTGCCGTCCTTGTCGTCAGAGTTCGCGTGGTTTTCAGGACATGCGTGGAAACTTTCGCACGTATTCGAGACGTTGTGGTTCTGAGAGCCGAGTCAAGCGGGTCGTGTCAATTGTCAAATATGTGTCTACTGGCAACTGGCACCGTGGGAGATGGCCGACGACTGTAAAGCTTCCGTCCACCATCACACAGACCCGCAGTCAGATAGGCGTCCAGGCTCCCCGAATGGCAAATGAGCTCCCCCGGTAGAACACCCGCCGATATCCCAGAAGGAAGAATCAGGAAAAAAAAGCCAATAATAAAAACGACTCGAACCGTCAATGACGGCCGGTGTAAGGGACGACACCGCTGTGAAGTTAGGTAACCCGACTTCCGGGTGAATTTTCTCGTGGTCAATTCTGGTACTACGTGAGAGCCGCCCCTCAGGAGCATGGAGATCCTGTGAGAGGTCGTTCGGTCGGGAATTTCACTGGAGAGACCAACTCGGCAGCAGATAGATGGTGGAGCAAGAAGGAACCGAGTTCAGTTTACTCCGCGACGTTACATGGCCACGGCCTTCCCACATGCCGGGGGCCTTTTATAGATCGAAACAAGCGAACGCGCAACGAACAAACGAAGCTCGTGCGGCTCATGACTGCCGTTGAGCCGAGCATCGATGACAAGCAAAGCTCACATTCACAACCGAGCGATTGTCGCCTAGTCCGCTGTGAGGGATGGCGACGTACGCCGCGGAGTGGCGCCCCGCAAAGGTGGCGGGTGACCAGTTCGCTTCCCAGGAAACTTCAACGAGTCACATGACTCACTGCGACCGCGGTGATACTCCTCATACGAATACGGGAGCTCCAACCACTACAGTTGGTGATCCCGTAGACGCTCGCTGGGGTTGAGGAGCGACTCGTTTCTACGTCGAGAATCCCACTATAAGCCGGTCCTGCCGTGCCTTGCTTGCTCGCTCGCTCGTTTGTTTGCTTGCACGCTCGCTCGGTCACTCGACAGTCATCAGTATTTTGGTCAGTCGAGTAGTCGACAGTCAACAATCCAACGCCTATCGAGGTTGAATGCTCAGCTTCGGCGATTCGCTGCACTCGAGGGGACCAGAGTCTCGGCACGATCGCCCCCAAGTTCGCAGAACATATAATTAGAATCATTCTCCGCAATTCCTGCCGGCGTTTGCCCCTGGCCGCCCCCGAACCCTTCAAAGAGCAGACCTGGGGCAGGACGACGGAACCCGGCCACGATCACTCCGAACAGAAAGCTCGCTCCGTGCAGCGCACAGTATACACCGAGATTATCGAAACTTTTGTCACTTGCCTCCAACAACGACTAGCTTGTACTCAGTCATTGCGAATGTTGTTGTAGCGGGGAAGATTATGTCTCTTCTTCGGCGAGAAGCTCCCCACGACTCGGCGACGACTTCTTTCTCGTTGCACGATCCACGGCCTGTTGCACTGAATCCGCGGCTCGATGGCACAATGCGCTTCCAGACGATAAACTCCAAAAGCTTCAGCAAAAGCTTTTCAGTAATCGACGTCGTCGTCGTCAATCCACAAGACGCTGCTGCTGCTGTCTGCCGACAACACCGACGGACACTGGAACTCACGCCACAAGCCCTACTTGTTTACATCGATGAACGCATTTTTAGCGGGGAGAATTCTGAGTTCAGCGGGGCTGGCGACTTGGAGACTCGGCCTGTTTTGGCGAGTTATTATGGGGTTACGGCGGAATCGATCTTATGTTAGATGTTAGAGAACTCGTTCAAAATTGCATATACACTCGAAATAGCGAGGAAGCTTCAGAAACTCTACGCGAAACCAAGGTTGACAGAGGGATATCGGGGAAGTGCCAATGGACAATCGTAATAGTAGCGTATATGTCCGGAGCGACTCACGGTCGGCCCCGCTGCAAGTCCTGAATTCTAATTGTAAGAATCAGTCTGGCACACCACAATACATTACCACAGTGGTTTTGGAATTCCATAGATAACGGCGATATGAACTAAATGCTTCTAGAATTTCACCGCAAAACAAGGCATAGCGTCACAGAACGATCGGCAGGGCGACGCGACGAAGTGGAGGCGAAGCATGAATGATCAAAAATTTTGATGCGACTCTGAGTCGGATTGATTCCTCGGAGGGACGAGCTCCGTGGAGGTCAGGTCGATACATCTAGGAGAATGTTTCGCTCGAAGGCTGTCGGATTTAGCTGGCATGACGGGACTAGGTCCCATCATACCATTGCCCGGGGGTTCCCGCGTGGAGGCACCGACACTGGCGAAGCCATGATTAAGCCCCGCATTTCGCGATGTCTGGGATCGCATATTTTTACGTCATGACTCATAACTAGGGGTGTAAATTTTTCGCGGAAAAAAATGGCCGAAATCGCGGACGGTCGCGGCAAGAAATTCAGAAAATCGCGGAAATCGATCGAATCGCTTGCGAATTCGCGGAAATGTCGGAAGGAGACTTTCTCAGATCACCGAGTCGGTTTCGATGCTCAGAATTGTCACGGTAGAGTGAGATTGAGACTAGTAGGCATGGCTACAACATGTCACGAGTTATTCATGCGGTCTAGTCGAGTCCGCATGTGCTGCCCGGGCTAAGATCGGGGCAAGGACCCACGCAGAGCTCACGGAACCAAGATTGGGCTGATTCTGAAGGAAAATGCGCGGGATGATTGGCGAATCGCCCGTACGTTCTCAGTCTCTTTCTCGTCAGATCTTTATTTGCTGTCCGCTCCACAATTGCACTTTCAGCCTCCCTGACGACAACATGAACTGCAAGGTCGGATATCTTAGCTTATTTACCTAACGCTCCACAAACACCGTTAAAACATCCACAGCACGCCCAGAACGTAGGAGGCATGTACAAATTGTCATCGTGCGTCCACAACTCCTAAATGTTCGAGGAGTTTTGGTAAAGCATATTATAAACAGGTAGATTTGCCTCATCGATACTGCGTCGATCGTCCCTCAGCACGGCTGAGTACAAGCTGAACGATCTCTCCGCAGCCACGCTATTGACAGGAACGCTCAAACAAGAAATTGCTATTCGGGATAGCTTCGGGAATCGTTTCTCGGCCGCGCGCCAAAAATCTACAGGATGGCCATCGGGGCTGAGCTCGTCCGTTGATGACAAGTACAATTTAAGTTCAGCTTTTGCCGAAGTGTCGTCGTCAAACCAAGGGATGCTATCGAATACAACTTCCGGATCCACGTTTGCGATCTGAGCATAGGAAACATCGAAAATCTGGCAAGAGTTGAAGAATCTCGTCGCTGGTTGGCAGAAACGAGTTGTCGGCTGCTCCGAGATATAGGAATTCAACTTCACTAGAGATCTCTGTAAAGCCGTTTTGCCGCTCTGGTGATTTTCTGCTGATGCCGATATTTCGAGCCATTCAGCGAGCAATTTGAGCTCTCGAATGAGAAGGTGGGCTTTGACAGAACTGGTCTCGTACTCCGTTAAGATGCTCATGAGATGTGGCGCGTATTTCTTCAGGCATGTGAGATCGGCTTCGATCTTGCGACAGCTGCTCAAGCTGATTATATTTGAGACCGTAAGGCTGGAACTCGCCTCAGCTTCCTCCTTGAAGAAGGTAATATAATCGTCCAGATGCGACTCGTGGTACATCGCGGCTCGAAACCAAGTGTTCCACCTGGTTGAGACGGGGACTGGTGGGAGTGCCTCTGATCCGCCCTTAGCTCTCAGATACTGGAGGAACCGAGCTTTACGCGACGGACAAGCCGTGAAGCCCTTCTTGATGGCGACAACCAAATCGTTCACAGCTTTGAACTCACTCTGCCATATTTCGCAGATCAAATTGAGCAGATGAGCTGTACACGTTACGTGGACAGCGTTTAGGAGCACGGCTCTCAAACTAGAGCTCCAAGTCTTGTGCATGTACGAGGCGTTGTCGGTAACGAAGGCACTAATCTTCGTCAGCGGAATCTCGTACTTGTAAAGCTCCTTCAGAACAGTTTCGCTCACGGTTTTGTGGTTCGTTGAGTCTAGAACCACCGAGTTCAGAAGCAAGGCTCGTAGCTTGTGTCCAGGCTGAGACGGTGAGCTTTCCGAACAATCAACGGCGAGCAAGTTGAAGATATACCGATCTTCAGGGTCCGTGGTCTCGTCGCAGACTAGAGCAATAGACGAGGCGTTTCTGAGTAAAGTTTTCAGTTCCTTCAAATGTAGTTCGAATATTTTCGGAAGGTAGTTCTGTCGCAGATTCCTTGACGTAGGAATCGAACCAATCCCTGATAAATTGGCCTCAAGGTAAGATTTGAGAGCAGGCCTATCGATTACGTTGAGTGGGATGTTAGCACCGCAGAACTCCTTCACAAGACTCATGAGCTCCACTCTCCGTTGCATTCTCTGGTCGGTTTGCTTCTCGAACATGTTGGAGACAGTTTCTTGAAGTTTCCGTTTCTTGTCGTTCGAGTCAACCTTACCCTCTGCTTTTCGCGAGTGAACAGCACTGGCCAGGTGCTTCCTGCACGAGCTCATGCGCATATAATCTACGGGAACGTTGCAGCTACTGCAGAAAAGATGGTCACCCGACACATGGAAAACTCCTGGGTCGAACTCTTTTGCTCTCTTCTGAGGAGTCATTTTCTTCGGCAACTTTTTGGACGAATACATTCTCGAACCTGACCGAGCGCGGCACGTGTTTCACCAGACGGAAGCATGTAGACGTTGGTGTAATACTTTACGTGCATGTAGACAGTTGGTGTAACACAGGCTGACGCTTGGTGTAAGCTTCCCTCGGAAAGGGTGATCATTTACCAGCGGAGGAATTCGAATGGCGCCCATCGGAAGCGAAACGGCCTGTACATTTGTGTATAGCCAGGTGACCGCACCCTGGTCGACGGAGATCACGGTTTCGAGCTGATTCTGTTCCGCCAGAGCTCCCTGATCGAGGGCAAGTTATAAGAAAGCCGACGAAACTCCATAAATTCATCTCTTTCCTCCGGAAAATAGAGGTCGCGGAAGTCGCGGAAAATTTCACCTTTATCGCGGAAATCAGCCGAAATCACTAGAAATCGCGGTTTTTGCGACTTCCGCGACCTCCGCGACTTTCTTACAGCCCTACTCATAACCATTGACCGGAACTCGGGTTCCGGTCGATGGTGATGGTGATAGACTTGCCTGAAAAACTTAGGGGCTTTTGTGGGAATTCAGAGAATATGTGAGGAATGAATCGAGGTCAAGATTGATGACAAAAGACCGGGAATTGAGTATGTAAGTGATCGACTAGGCGAGGAGGTTGCGCAGTTTGATCGTAATTGTGATCCTGAGCAATGTCATGGTTTTCGAGCCACTCCTCCACGTCAGGGTCCTGGAGTTGTGGGTCGTTTTCTTCTTGCAATCCGTGTCGAACGGCAGCTCCGCCAACCGTGAGTTTGACTTTCTTTATGAATTGGATCGGGGTGAGTACCCCGCTGTCGAGAAGTTCCCATGCTCCGTTGATGGTAGGTACTTCTACTCTTTTTCGTGGCTCGCTTTGGTCTAGAGTCTAGAGCGAACGTGCTGCGTCCCTCTGCTGTGAATATTCGCGTCGACAAGTACATCCTGAGCCGCATTCAAAATGACTTATACTGGTGTCCAGAAGGCTTGATGTGGTCCGCAATTCCGCAGCAGATATGCGTTGTTGGATTCCACGGCATTGTGGGTTCGTGCAATCGCCCTATGAACGGAGAGTCCGTGTGGCGTGATCTGCTCAAGCCAGTAGGAGCGAATGTAGCTCGAGAAGGGACCAAAGCGGCCCAATTGTGGCGTATTCGCTTTCGATCTCAACGCGGCGACTGCGCCACAATCCGACACCATTACGATTCTCGGCCATACAAGTAATGTCTCAGTCGCTCAAGCCCCCACACGACCGCTAGCTAATCAAGTTTCGTTGAATGATAGTTTTTTCGGCCGCCGACAATTTTCGACTGATCGCATAGATCATTTTCCACGCTGCTTTTGCTTCCTGCAACAGTATCGCTCCGAGTCCGACCGTACTAGCGTCGGTGTGCAGTTTCGTCGCTCTTCCTGAGACAAACCTGTCCTAGACTGAGCCTGCTATCAATGTTGTAGCGAATCGAGTTCGCTGTCAAAGCGGTCTCGCTCGACGTACCCGCGGGCTCAAGGGATATGCTACCGATATAAAATAATTGAATAATGATTTATGAAAGTCAACGCAAATGATCATATGGAGTGTTCATATAACTGTATGAGAGATCAATAAATGCCGCGGCTTCGAAAGGGATCGATGACGAGACATGTCGCACGGTGCACGTGCACGACGACACACACTCGAGTATGTCCAATCGGGGCTTCAAGACTCGTGCTTGAGCCCAGTCCGAGATTTGCGAATTAAGGACAGTAATCCTGTGAAAACGTCGTTGTTCATCCCGGACGAAGGCTGCGGCCGTGAACTACTCCATTTATTGTGTTGGTTTCACATCGTCAGGACTTTGACAACGATAGATTCTCAACATTGGTGTCAGAAGTTAACCAGGAACCTAAGCCTAACGTGATATCGCCACCTTGCGGGAGTGAGAAAGACGCAATCGCTACCGTCAGTGGAATCTGTGTGCAATGGCGAATAACGACGACATCCCGACAGTGCAACCACGGTCGGCGGGAGCCGAAGGCGACCAAGATCCCGTCGTACTCAAGGGTGAGCTGCGTGCAACGAGATCAGTCCTGAAGACCACAAGAACAGCATTCACAAAAGCGTACAAGAAGGCTTGCGAGCTACTCAGAGCTGAAGATTCAGCTGATCTGGTAGATGACATCGTTAGCTCCGAGAACGGAATTCAAGAGTTATGGGACAGGATGGGAAAGTCATACTGGCTCATTGTCTTCTCACCGGTGGTTCCCGATAACATTGTGGAAGAAGAGGAAGAGAAACACGAAACCTACGGAGCAATGCATTGCGAGATCACCCAGGAGCTGCGAGCTCGCCTGAGAAAATGTGAAAGAAAGGTCTTCGGCAAAATCCAAACCGATTTATCGTTCCAAGTCGAAAAAGATAGACTGAATTCTACGATGGAGCAAAGCAATAATTCCGGCAGGAAATCGTGGAAGGAAACTCTTCAACGGTTACCAACGTTCGATGGCAATGCAACGAAATTCAGCCGGTGGAAAGATGCGTTCATTCTCCACGTCGACTCCAGGGACTGGGATCCACTAGAGAAATTCGAGTTCATGGAAAAGACACTGCAGGGGAGAGCTCTGCGGAGCATCTCAGGCTTCGCAGTACGGGCCGAAAACTACGTTTCGGCAAGGGACACGATCTTCGAAAACTTTGGCAGCGTGAAGAAGGCCGCGAGCCAACACATGGAAAACATCATGATGGCTTTAGCCTATTGAACGCCTCCTCACACTGTTCGTTCAACTGGAATTTAGTCCCCTTCTTAAATAGAGTCGTCAATAGACTCGAGATAGTCGCATAACCGCGAAAAAATCTCCTAAAGAATGATGTCAATCCCAAGAACCTTCTTACTTCATGAACATCCTTCGGTATCGAGAATTTCTCTACCGCCTCTAATTTCCTAGTCCCAGGCTGTACTCCTTGGAAATTTTGAACCCCAAAAACTGTACTGACTTCATGGAGAACTTGCATTTCTGAAGCCTGACTGTGAGACCTGCTTGTTTCAATGCCCCCAAGATGCCCTCGATTTGCCTGCGATGATCATCCATCTTATCCGATACTGTGATCATATCGTCCAGAAAAGGAAACGTTTGCCATTGCTTCAAAAGTTTCCGTTGAGCTTGTGGACTCTGGAGGAATATATTCCCCTCCCCCCACTCTGTAAAACGCGACAAATCACCCGATGAAGCCTAAAATATCTCACGAATCGCTCAAAATTTACACGACAACATTTTCTATATGTCCCAACTCCAGAACGCGTGTCCACATTCCGACACCTTCCCCCATGCGAAGAAAAATCCGCAAAACTCCGCTCTACTTCAGTGAAGCGATCATGAAATCACTGCGCCTGCGCGACACGCATGAAATTACTGCGCGCGCGCCTCATGGTGGAGCGCGCCGTGTACGGCACAATGGCCCTCGGACTCCGAATTATTTCAGAGCAAGCGTCCATGCGAGCACTTCCGATCCGATGCCCTCAGTCGTGAAAGGCCGTCGTCACTGACGTTGTCATTCGGGAATGGACGACGAAAGCGTTCCAATCATGGATCATTTTGCCGCGACTCGGTTGCCTCAATGTCATATTCATTATGTTTCCGTTTGAGTCCAGGATACGAGGAGCGTGGCCAAAGGGCGCGTTCCACAGGCCTGGTATTCTGGTATATATATAGATATCGTTTATTCGGTTCAAAGATAGATAGATTCATATAGATATCGTTTATTCAAAACTTGGCGATCGAAAATCATCAGCTAATCTGATCTATCAACCGTGCATAAGGTCGAGCTCTCTCAAGGCTTTAGGGCCGTATTCTACATCCGAAACAAGTCCTCGCAGAGAAATCTTCCTGCGTCTTATTTTCCTCTAGTTCTTGTGGATGACGAAGTTGCGCAACTCGCTAATTCGCAACGCGTCTCGTAAGCCGAGGAGGATTCTGGAATTCTGGCACTGTGACGATGACCGCGGCCGATCGACCGCAAATGGGTAGATGGGAATCGAAAACTGTCTCATTGATCACGACGAACGTACCGCATCGAAAAATGTAAGCAAGGATTCTGAATTCATGTGGAGCTTTCGTCGTGGTCATGGACTGAAACAACATCTTGAGGAGGTGAAAATGTCGAATGTCGACATTCATGTGACGAGATTTGCGGTATATAAGCTTTTGTTTCCTTTATTCAGTGGGCGATTGGTTCGAGTTGGAAACCGACCGTGAAGGCAAACTGAGATCAGCTGTTTGTTTGAAATGTAGCAAGAATTCCAAAACTCCGAGGAGTGGTACCAACGTCTTGGAGAATCACATCTCGAGCCACAAGCGAAAAACGTTGCCCGCCTCCACCAAGTCCAAAGCGAATGGAATTATATCGAGCCTGGTTGCGTCGGGCATGCCTTTTTCAGGCTACGATCGCTTGGCCTTCCGCGAGATGTTTAAAGATGCTGGGTATGGGAACATTGACAGACACGCAGCGGCTAGGATCCTTGATGCAGAAGCCAGAAATCTTCAGTCCCTCCTCATTATGGACCTGCTGAACTCGAAGAAAGATATAACCGGGGAAGCGAGATCCGTCTTCACACTAACTGCCGACGAGTGGTCCTTCCAAAGGAAGCGATTCATCGGGGTGACATCCCATTCGACGAGAGAAATTCCATGCTTGAAATCGAAGAGGGCAGACCTGTTCATAATCAGACTGACGACTAGCGCAACCGCTGAAAATCTCTACGATCGAATCGTCGAAAGTTTGGGAGATTTCCAGCTCCACACAAGGGATATTAGAGCAATAACCACCGACGCGGCATCCGATATGATCAGACTTGGCGAACTTCTGAAACGCGCTGCCGCCCCATACCCTTTCTATAATCAGCTGTGCTTCGCACATGCACTACATCTGGCCGTTCTGGACGCTTTCGAATCTCAGCCCCTCGACATCAACGACTTCTGGAATGACCAAGTTCCCTCTGATGGTTCGCAATCAGATGAAGAGTCTGACCTTCGGGCCGAGGAACCGGATCGCGGAAGAGCGAATCGTTCGAGCAGCGCCAGCGTACCATCAACTCTGACAGGTATTTACGGGCAGGCTCTGGGCCGAGTTCGAGCGGTTTGCACTGTTTTCGTAAGGAGTCATGCGAAGCACGATGCGCTCATGAAGCTCAGTGACAGCGCAAGGTCATCCTGGACTGCGTGACCCGATGGAATAGCACCTTAGCAATGATGCGGAGATTTCTTGAGCTGAAAGATAAGATGAAACAAATTCATGGGGCTCATTCTCCGCGAGGCTGCAACTTTCCCGTCACAAATAACGATATAGACACCGTCGTGGAAATGGTGGAGGCTCCAAAGTTTGTCGAAGATGCGGTCAAAATGCTCTCTAGGGAAGATACGACGATGCTAGATGCTTACTATATATTGCAGGTATGCATCTAGTCAACGTTGAATATCGTCTATTGACGTCTATTCTATGCTGCCTATCGTCTATTCTATGCTGCGCCGCGCCGTCGAGAAGCTATCAGGGAACTGCATGAGTTTCGTGCCCTGTTTTTTAACTGATTATATCTCGGCTTAGGGAAGGCGGAGAGACTTTCCAAAATATACGTTTTTCGTGAATTGAGCTCAGCTTTCACGAGTGGGGGGTGGCATTCCGATCAAACTCACCCGTTCCGAGAAATTCCCAGAATAGCTCGTCTGAAATGCAGTCGATTAGTTTTTTACGAGCGGAAATCGCCCATGAGAAGACCTCCGAATCGAATGAAGTTTATCGGAATTTGAGATTGCGATAATTCCGATAGCACCCGAGCGATTTCTCTGGAACCTCGTCAGTTTTGAGACTGCTTCTCGGCGCAGTTCAGACCGATAAGCTCCCCCGAGTTTTCTTTGGCTCGTTCGGAGCGCGACCGCCGACCGCCGACCGCCATTATTTCGAGGGGCGTCAATTTGAATGTCCATTAGTCCATTGGTTTTCGCGCGTGAGCTGATCTCCAACGACGTCTCAACGGATTTGATTTGGATTCGCGGTGGCTATTGTTGCCATCATCTGCATCTGCGGACTTTCTTCCGCGAATAACGTAAATTTAGGGAACCCTCTCCGGCTTCTCTAAGCCGGAATATCTTCATTTGAGAAACAGGGCACTAATCACGAAACTTATGCCTCTCCGCTCTCTGCGACCGACGGATAGCCGAGTGGTGAGAGCGGTCTGCGGGTCACATGCAGATTTGCGCTAGCCACGTTGACGTTGTATCGTGCAGGAGGCAGCATGGGTCCGATCCCTGCAGCCGTCTACTTCGGGGATGGTTTTCTCTCCGGGAAACTCAGGGTTCCCATTCATCGCGAGTGAATGCCGGAGTAGTACTCAGGCCGTGACAAAGACGCTTGGCGTCTCTCGCTTGGGGCCAGGAGAGGGGATGAAAAAATTCTCAAAAGCCCTTCAGCCGACGTAGCATCTGATGCACACCATGATTCAATAATTTCAGACACTCTTAGAAGCTCTGGAGGCAAACAGTTCAAGATTCAGCAAGCAGCTCAGTCGTTTCGTCAGCTGTCGAATTTTGGAGCGTCGAAGTTTCACTGGATCTTGCGTTTTTATCATTCTCGAACTCTCCTGCTTGTTTCTTTGCCGCTTCTGCTGCGGCACGGAGGTTGACCGTCTGCTGCAAGTCCAAGTCTTGGATTTTCAACAAGTCCTCGCGGACCTTCGGACTTCGTATGCCGTAAATCAGCTGGTTTCGCATCATTCGATCCTCTTGTTTCTCGAAATGGCAGTCCCTGGCCAGGATCTTCAGATCTGTTAGCCACGTTGCGAAGGGCTCTTTCACTCCTTGCACTCTGGTTCTGAACTTGTAAGCGCTGGATTGCTCCGATTCTCCCTTCGAGAATCTCTCCGTCAGAATTCGCACCACTGTCTCGTAGTGGTCCGCCGCACAGTGGCGCCAAAGCCACTTTTAGGTGGACAAAATCAAAGACACGAGGATCGACTCCGGAACAGGCGGGGAAGACGCGCGAGTGGTCGGCGTTCAGGTAGCCATAGGCATAAGCGTCAGCTGAGCACTCACTGATTAATGCGCGGCGATCGAAGTCATCTCCCAATCGGTGGTATCATACGGAATTTCTCTTCCCATCCGCTACTTTCGCGAAATGAATGGCTCTAACCGACTCCGATTAGGGGTATCAATGCTCTGACTTCAAGTTCCGTCCGAATTTCAAGTTTCTAGGCGATTCAGACCCATTCGCTACTCTCTCATGTCTCCGAATCGGAAAATCTTTATATGCATCGAAACCATAAAAAGTGGATATTGACGAGGGCGGGAAAGCTTGTATTCCACATTATTCCACCCCGAATCTCTCGGCCAAGGGAGCCTCAGGTCCGCTTATATTTATTTAAAAAAAATTGAGACCCGGTTCGACCCGGTTCCCGAATGCCGAATATTTCATTCATTGTTCAAATTGCGGGAGTCCGAGGGAATCCCAGCATATCCATCGATTAATTTATTTTTTGGGCGCGGTATACCTCCCCCGAGATTCTGTGAGGTCATTCTGGGCTCATCAGCCGCTCCCTCTGATGCTCCGAGCGCAGATCTATACATCTGACGCCAATCGGGATGCTCACGGAAGAGTCCAAAGAATCGCGAAACAAAGATTGTCGACGTTTTCGACTCCATCATACCCAGAAGAGCTCGCGAGAAAACTCGAATTACGATCTCTTCTGTATGTTTATGATTTCGTCGGATCCGTTGGTCGCAAGCTTTCGCCAACCTCCGAAACGTAAATGAAAGAGTATCGACAAGTTCAATCCTTGCTCAAATGTAGCTTCGTCTCTGAGGAAGATACACCAAAGGAAGTTGAGAATCCCTCAGGTTCAGAAGATCCTGAGATCCCGATGGATTGCGACAACCCCGGAGATCCGAATTCACCGCTTCCATCCGGAACTTCCGGGGAAAGTTCCAGTGATAGCGACCTCTAATATCGAGGAAAGTGCTCGCGAGAATACCATCGTTCATTCATCAGTGTCAGTGTCTTGTATACCCTGATTTCTGCCGATTCCATCGAGCGAATAGGCTATTAAACTTTCTCTCAAGCTTCTCCTTCTCTTCTGAGTCATTTATGATCGGAAAATCTCATAAAATAATTTTGTCCACCTAAAAGTGGCTTTGGCGCCTTTGTGCGCCGGTCGAACGATGGCAGCCGTTGGCTCGGGGAAGTCTATCGCGTTGTACTCCTCTAACACCAAGTCGCCCCCGGCCGCCAGGAGCAGAGCCGTCTTCGTCTCATCATCATCGGCGTTTCTCTTCGCCGCTCTCATGTAGATCTCGAGCTTTTGTCGAAAACGGGTCCATTCACTCTTCGATCGTTCCTTCATCGCCAGGTTTGTGGGTATTTTCTCCATTTTACTTGGTTTCTACACGATCACCACTGCCACCATATTAATGAGCCTCGCTTATCGTCACAAAAGCTGATATTTATTGATATCGACTCGTCTGATTAAGCCTGTACGTGCGACGTGCCTACCCTGACAACAACCTCTCAGGCAAGCAGATACCTCGAGGAAAAATCCTCGAACTCTGCCTTCGACAATCTATTGGCAAGACTGGGTGAATGTCCTGCCGCTCTTCTAGAGAGATCTGAAGTCATCGGAGAAATGGCCAAATTCCAAGAACTTGATTTCTCTGAGATTCCTCCAGAGTCCACAAGCTCAGCGGAAACTTTTGAAGCAATGGCGCTGGCCACTCGCAGAAGATCCGATGTCCGCTCGGGTAGTGTTGGTTCGTCCTCGAGCGATCAGCTCGGTCGAAATTGTCCGCTCCCGCCAGAGAACGCGAGCCTCGTGGCGGCGCGTTTATTACTGGAATACGAGCGGCGCACCCAAGATCAAGACACAGCCGTAGATCCCGTCATCGTTTCTTTGGTAACTGCACTAAATGCAGTCCAACCGACTAGTGTTCCCTCGGAGCGAGCGTTTTCCCGAGCAAGGACCATCAGACACTACTCCCGTGAAAGAATCAATGATAAGAGATTCAGAAAGATCATGCTTGTAAGGAATCTGACTGACTCCAATAATCCGTTCGCTTCTCAGCCACTCCCTGGAACACCGGAGGCGGAAACTCCGACGCGACCCGACGAATCCATATCATCCGCTTGTTGACTTACGAAGAATCCCGAGAATCTCATGAGCTATCGGAGTGGAGAGAGACCTTAACTGATGCTCAACTACTCGCTTCAAACTGGGGGTCGACTAAAAAAACGTTTTTTTAAAACCGGTTTCCTCGATTCTTCTGAAAACCGGTTTCCCGAGAAAACCGGTTAATAACGGTTTTCGAAACCGGTCGCGACCCCTGCTTGGAACTTAAGGATTTTTCGTTGATGAACATGGCCCTGACGCATTCATTTTTTGTTCATGAACATGAACTTTTCATTTTTTCGTTCATGAACATGAACTTTTCATTTTTTCGTTCATGAACATGAACTATTCATTTTTTCGTTCATGAACATGAACTTTTCATTCTCTCGTTCATGAACACGAACTTTTCTTTCCATTCTTTTTTCCTGATTCATCATATCCATACGGTCAATCATCATCCATCCATATCAAACTAAGAATAAAAGAAAAGAGAATTATTTCTCTGGATTCTGGATTGATTTCAGTGGTTCTCCTCGCATTAGACTGACTAGGCCGATGCTCCTCGCTGGCCTTCCGGCGAGAATACGGTTCGGGAACTTCGATAGAGAGATTCTCTGGGCCAACTGGGATATCACCTGGAAAATTCCAAGACAATCGAGATTCAAGTGTAGATTCTCTGAGCCGATATGTCCATGCATTGGACTGACTAGACCCGAGGGATCTCCCTGACGAAGTTCCTGTACCGTATCATCGTCGAGGGGTTCACGGGGAAGGTCGACTCAGTCAGTCTGATGCCTGGGTTGATGACTTCGATGGATCGTGAGCATCAAGTTGAATTTCGATCTTCTTGGAATCTTCGGATCAATGTTCATCTTGGCCCTACGAATCTTCCTGGCGAGGTTTTGGTATCCTCGTCTCGCGGTCCAGCAGAATTTTCGACTCAGTCCAATGCATGGCAAAGCCTACATCTGGATAGACAGGATGCTGATGGGAAGATTCCATCAGTCCTATTTGCCTGATATGTCACCTAACAAATTAACCCCCCTTGGATAGAGGCGATTGAAAACTGAAAACTGAATCTTCGGAGAAATGCTCCGTAGAAATCGCCGTACAACCGGCGTCCAATCGGCGTACAATCGGCGTACACGGCGTACAATCGGCGTAAACGGCGTACAATCGGCGTAAACGGCGTCCATTCGGCTTATACTTGGCATTCCGCGTACAGCGTACAAAGTGCTCATATTTAAAGCTCGATTGCGAACTCCGGCACATTGTGTTACGGTTCTGGGGAAAGAATGGGTTACGACTCGGAGCAGCTCAGATCCGTGAAGTCCTGAGAGCCCACCCCGAAGTATCTGCCGGCTTGAAAGTCAAGGCTCATGTTGATGCACGTATTCCCGATTACCGTTTCAAATTGAGTCTCGTCGAAAAATCAAGAAAGAGGGGGAGGAATCTGTACTCGTTGGCTGTAGACCTGGATGAAGTAAGAGGTAGGGTGAGCCAAGACTTCGAGTCGTTCCACAGGTCGGTTCTCCGACTTATCCCATCGTGCTCGAGATGCATGATGTGCCGTCATCTGATCTTACTGCCAAACCTCGTCACGATAGACCCAGCCTTCATGGACGTTCATGGACGAATAGCGCCGTCTCCGTAAAATAATAATAAGAGAGAAAACTATGATATTTTAATTGAGTTGTCGTCTCTGTCACAAATTTAAGCGTCTCTATAGTCAGAAATGATCGGATGCTAGCAAAGAGATGGGTTCTTGGCGGAGCCCAGGATGTCGAGATGAAACCGAAGAAACGTAGGATCGTATCAAGTTTAATCACATCAACGTTTATCGCAGAACTTCGTGGTACACGATTTTTCTTGTATAGCTTTCGGCGGCTGATATTGCGATACCGTTTCGATTTCGGGCTCGGGACAATGCAACGTATAGTTGCCCGTGGGCGAAAACCGGCTGGGTCATGTCGATGCCGATCCGTGAGAAGGACTGTCCCTGCGACTTGTTTATAGTCATAGAAAAACTCAATCGAATTGGAAACTGGCGGCGTCGAAGTCGAAATGGTAGAGTACGGTGGGTGTAATAGCAATCGATTCTGGGTATTATGACTGGCGAACCTTTAGCCTGACCCATCGCGAACTTGTACACTATGATTCGAGGATGAATATCTGTTATAATGAGACGGGTTCCATTGCACAGACCATTGCTGACGTCCAAGTTCCTCAGGAGCATAACAATGCAGCCTACTTTTAAGTTGAGTACATGAGGGGGAAGACCCGAGGGTTGTAACTTGTTTAAGAATTCCGTAGGAAAGTTGAGGGCATCACTGGGATCTTCGACCATAGGTTCGTCTTGACTCAAAATTGCGAGACTTTCGGGAAACTAAACAAAGTCCCCAAAGTGTGTGTCCCTCTTAGGTCGAGAGAGCAGGAAATTTCATGAGCTTAAGTAAGTCGCCTCCAGTCATACCTGCTGTCCGTGGCAATCGTGGCGCTAAGATTCTCGGCGTGCCTATGGATCGTTGAAGAACTCGGGGATTATCTGGTGTTGGAGCAAGATCTTCGCCAATTGTGTCCGAGGACAGGGGAGTACTCGGCAACACATCCGCCAAACATGCGGTAGGAGTCTGTGTCGGACCTCGCCGTGGACTTAAGGATGGGGTTTGCACCGAGGTCGTTGGCGACGGGATTCGATGTCGCGTCTATTCCGTGGTTTCATTTGCAAGGAGAGCGCGGTTGCGGCGCATTCGTGTGCTCGAGGCGAGTGTAGTATAGCGAGTACTTCGACGGGCACTTCTCAGTTTCGGCCTGCTCTTAGTTTCCCCGTAAGAAAGTTTCAGGCGATGGGTCTCGAAGTGGCTTATATGTGCATCTCGTTGTCGGAGTGAATTGAGTTTGGAACCCATCTCATTGTCAGTGTATGCATCCCGATGTCAGAGTGAGTGACTCAAGCTTTGCCTGGACGGTGGGCGCTCGGGAATAACGACCGACCTATTTCGAGGCATGTGTGTATTGGACACGATCAAAATGCGCAACCAATTTCTAGGTTGATGTAGAAATCTCTTCGTAGATAATGCCTGTGAGGAATAGCTATTTATCCCGCTCAGGAGTCGGATGCCGAAATGCCGAGGAGTCTCGGGGTCTTTAACAGCTTCTCAAAAACCTTGCGATAGGAGATTCTCGGAAAGCTCATATTCCATGTCGAAACCCGTGAAAAGTAACTCTTCGCAGATTTATTCTGGTCAAACGTCGGATACCGAGGGGTATCGAGGTCTTTCACAGCTTCTTAGAATCCTTCAGGTCGCCGAGGGAAAGAAAGATCCGTGATACTGTGCAGAAATCTTGGTTCAATGGGTCAGATTTTGCCAACCTTAGACCATCAATCGAGGGCTTCCACTCGCTCACGAATGGTGAAGGGGAAAAACTAGAGGTGAACGTGTCAGAACTCCTTCATCATCGCATCTGCTGGATCGCACTACGAAACGCACTCCAGCTCTATACCCCAGCCGGAAGCAGGACCCTTAATTCCGATCAGCTGTGGGTTCTGCTAAAAGTTCGAGCAAGCAGGATTGTCTTATGTTGAAGAAACGGTGAATTTCGTCGGACTGGAAAGGCAGATAAGCTCCGAGAGCAAGCGTGTGAACCTCAATTCGATGGAGAGACTCTTGGAGGCAGAAAAACGTCAGTTTGTGGGCTGGGAGCCCAGGTGAATCATGCTCTCATTGGACTTAGTGAAACACATGAGGTTTACAGTCGCTGTGTTCATGGGCGAAAGCGTGAGAAGGTAAGAGACCCGTAAAGATTACATCGGCCCCTTCATCGGAACGGCTCAACTCAATGAAGACGAATTATTTATACCCACCTCTCAAATCGCAACTTACGAGTCCCAGAGGCCTCTCTCGTTATGACATACCGATACGTCCCAGGATTTTGCTTCAGCAACCGCACGGTAAAAGGAGAGGAGTGTCGAGCTGACTGGTTCAGCGATGAGCGGAGACTGGTCACGAACGGTGTAGAGGCTCACGATAAAGAGAAAGATGAGGTCAACGTGCAGAATGGGGAGCTGGCCCAACCCGCTGACGTCTTGGAACATATTTATTCGGCACGCGAGGAATATCTAGATCCTATGCGAGACTTGTCCGCGTTCCATGGACCCCTGGTCGAGGGCGATGCGCCTCAAATGATTCTCCAGTACCTAAAAGAAGGGCCGTTCCCCCACATTTACCACGAGTATCGAGACCTCTTGGATTACCTGCGCCAGACGT